CTGTCCAAACTCAGGCTCAAAGAGGCCAAGTCCCTCACTCTTGGTCACACAGCAGAGCCTGGGTTTGAAGCCAGGTCTTTCCATTGACCTGAAGGTGCTCCATTATCTTGATCTGTCTCTAAGTGTGCTAAATGCTTTGGTACCTAAGGGGGGGGCCCACTGACAAAGCACACAAGGAGGGAAAGAACAGCCTTGCCATGTACAAAGTATATAGCAGGGGCAGGGGATAACAAAAGTCCTGTAAAGTGAAACACTGGGCTCTGTATCTCAAATCACTCCTCTGAAGTCCAAGAGGCTGTGTTTCCATATACTGGGTTTCTGTTTAGCAAGGTTCAACTGTGTTTTCCAGTTTGGGGGGTTCTACTGGTATCATTTATGGTGGTAGAGGAGCACCCTAGTTCCCCTGCTCCCATCATCACGTGATCCGAAATATGGCTGTATCTCCTTTGTAATGTGGGGCTCAAGGCTCATTCAGGCTGCTTGTGGGACTCAAAGTCAATAGTGTGCACCAAACAAATGCTGGGCAGCAGAAAGCAACAGCTTTAACTGAGCCTTTATTGGATGCTCACTGCCACAGATGCTTTACATAAAGGCTCACCCTAAGTCCTATCAGCCACCTAGCAGGGAGTGCCTGTCATTACCCACATTCTGCAGATGAGAAAACCAAGGCACTGTGGTTCAGTAACTAGCTCATGCGCACACAGCAGTTAAATAGTACAGCTGGGATTTGAACTCAGGGCTGGCCCAGTGTCAGTTATCATCAGCACAATTATGAGTATCATTACCATCAAAGGGTGGTCTAGTTAAATGGTTTAAAATTAATGGAAAAGTCTTGAAATTCCCAAAGGAAAAAAAAGTAGCTTTGAGAACCCTATGCATTGATGTGGTTGTTAGCTAGCCTGTAGGGAACAGCTGGTTCAGTGAAAACCTGTGGAATTTTCCAGCCACACACACTGCTGGGCCACAGTGATTCTGCACCATCCCCAGCATGGACGCACCAGCTGAGCCTGGACCCTCCCAGGATCTGGGAGCTGAGAAACATTCCCTGGTAATACTTAGCCTTCTTGTCATATTGCTTCTGACTGCTGGCTTTCCAGATGCTCCTGGTGGGGTCTCTTAAAACTGCTGTTCTCTCTTCCTGGGATTGAATTGGACTTCCAGATGGTCGGCCATAGGTGTATAGCAATACATTCTATTTTTCCACATGAGGCCAGTGACACTGGCCACATGAGGCCAGTGAGGGGGTGCTGAGTACAGGAACAGTGGGCAGGCTAGGTCCAGTGTCAGACTGTAGTCCCAGGCCTGGATTCAAACTCCAGATTTGCTATGTGACCCAAGGTGAGTCACTGCCCTTCTCTGAACTACTTCACTTTTTTCAGCCAGCTTGAAGATTATAGTGAATGCTTGGCATAAAGCAGGTCTTGCAAGTAGCTCAGCCCCTGTGGAAGAGAACTACCCTGAGTTTTCTAGGAGTGGATGGTCAGACATGGAAAGGGCCATTCTCCATCTCCCCCACACACCCCACAGTGGAAAAAAGGTCCTGAGCTAGTCCTGGCTGCAACAATCACATTGGCCATGTTACCTCACCTCTCCAGGACTCAGTTTTCTCATCTATTTATGGAGTAAATACCATTTACTCTCTGGATTGTGGGAAAACAAGAGACAGAATGTGTGGAAAGTCCTGGAAAGGCCTTAGCAGTCAGCATTAAATGTGTATGGTGTTTTTCCTTTTTCTATTTCACATGGTAGGCCTGGCAGGCCTCAGGCAATTTGAGGGCCCAGACTGGGAGGTACAATGGAGCAAAGGTGTAGGGTCACTGTAGATCACACAAGTGGTTCAGATGGAGTGTGGGTATACTCACTGTGTAGTAAGGGCTCAAATCCAACAAGGGCCAAGTAAGAGGCTCCTATGGCTGAGCACAGGCCAGATCTCTCACCTTCTTCTCCTTGAGCCCAGGAAGTGGTCTCAGTGACCCTCATTTTGCAGATGAGGATGCTGCAGTTTGGAGAAGGCCGTGACTTACCCAGGGTCATACAGGGACAGCAGTAGGATTAGGACCAACTCGTCAGAGGGCAGGTCCAGTGCTGTAGTCCCCACCCCCTAACCCAGAGACCTGCCTCATGGTTGGTGGGAGAATAGAAGGAAAAGACATCAACAAAATGCACTATCGGGGCAGGGGGGTCTTCCAGTCAAGATGAAAGCATAGGTAAAAACAACTCTCCTGCCCTGGTTGACGTAGCTCAGGGGATTGAGCGCAGGCTGCGAACCAAAGCATCACAGATTTGATTCCCAGTCAGGGCACATGCCTGGGTTGCAGGCCATGGCCCCCAGCAACCGCACATTAATGTTTCTCTCTCACTCTCTTCCTCCCTCCCTTCCCTCTCTAAAAATAAATAAATGAGATCTTTAAAAAAAAACATACACACACAACTCTCCTTACACAATCACATCAAAAATTACAACTAAATTACAGAACAGCTCTCACCTAGAATTGTCAGAAAATCAAGCTGTATGGAAGCCTGACAACCAAAGATTTAAAGAGGTCACATTCATCCAGACAGGTAGGAGGGTTGGAGACAGAGAACAGGCAGTCACACACCCATGTGTGATGGATAAAATTGGGAGGGATACCTCAGGAGCAAGGGATCTTAGCCCCACACCAGACCACCCTGCTGAGGGTTCCAGTGCCAGGAAAATAAGTTCTGGCTGTAAAAACCAGTGGGAGTTGGGGTGGCAGAAGAAACTGCAGGATTCTTGGGTGTCTCCTCTTAAAGGGCGCATGATGCTCTTAGAACTTACACAGACTTACTCCCTCTGGGCTCCAGCACTGGGGCAGCAGCTGAAAGAGCACCAGTGGCATATGGGGAGGAATTGAAGTGTCTGGCATCAGGATAAGTACTAGGGGACAGCTTCCTCCCAGACAGAACTGCAGACAGCAGCCATTTTACCTTTTTTGAGCCCTGCCACCTACAGAGCCACAGAGTGGTGACACCATATCTGAGACTCCATCAACCTGGTTCACACAGGTTGCCTTGCCCTGACGATTACCTAAGGCTCTGCCCCATCCAACTTACAGGTGCACTTTTCTACAATAGGCCACATTACTAAGACAGAGAGTCAAAGCAGCTCTACCTAATACATAGAAACAAACACAGGGAGGCTACCAAGATGAGGAGCAAAGAAACATGACCCAAATGAAAGAACAGAACAAAACTCCAGAAAAAGATGGAGATAACAAAATGTAGATAAGTAATCTATCACATGCAGAGTTCAAAACACTGGTTATTAGGAAAGCTCAAGGAACTCATTGGGTACTTCAACAGCATAAAAAAGAGCCAAGCAGAAATGAAGGTTACACTAAGTAAAGTAAAGAAAAATTTACAGGGAATCAATAGTGGAGTGGATGAAGCCGAGAATCAAATCAAAGATTTGGAACATAAGAAGAAAAAAGCATTCAATCAGAACAACAATAAGAAAAATGAATTTTAAAAAGATACAAGGATAGTATAAGCAGCCTCTGGGACAGCTTCAAATGCACCAATGTTCGAATCATGGGGGTGCTGGAAGTAGAAGAGCAATAGCAAGAAATTGAAAGCTTATTTGAAAAAATAATGAAAGAAAACTTCCCTAATTTGGTGAAGCAAGTAGACATACAAGTCCAGGAAGCATAGAGTCCCAAACAATATGGACACAAAGAGAACCACACAAAGACGCATCATAATTAAAATGCCAAAGGTTAAAGATAAAGAGAGAATCTTAAAAGCAGCAAGAGAAAAACAGATAGTTACCTACAAAAGACTTCCCATAAGACTGTCAGCTGGTTTCTTAAAAGAAACTTTGCAGGCTAGAAGGGACTGGCAAGAAGTATTCAAAGTGATGAAGAACCTACAGCCTAGATTACTCTATCCAGCAAAGCTATCATTTAGAATGGAAGGGCAGATAAAGTGCTTTTCAGACAAGGTAAAGCTAAAGGAGTTCATAATCACCAAACCATTATTATATAAAATATTAAAGGTACTTATTTAAGAAAAAGGAAGATCAAAACAATGAACATTAAAATGGCAATAAATTCATAACTATCAACAACTGAATCTAAAAAACAAACTAGGCAAACAAACAGAACAAAAACAATCATAAATATGGAGATCATTTGGATGGTTATCAATTGGGAGGAGGAGGGGAGAGAATGGGGGAAAAGAATGCAGGGATTAATAAGTACAAATTGGTAGGTACAAAATAGACAGGGGTATGTTAAGAACAGTATAGGAAATGAAGTAGCCAAAGAACTTATATGCATGACCCATGGACATGAGCTAAGGGAGGGGATTGCCAGAGGGAATGGGGGGTACTAGGTAGGGGAGGACAAAGAGGGGAAAATTGGGATAACTGTAATACCATAATCCATAAAATATATTTTTAAACTGCATTTTAGACCTGAAAGCAGGTGCAATATTGATTAAGCTCATTCTATTCCATCATCACTTTTTCTCTTTTTTCATTAATCAAGCCTCTCCTTTGTGCCAGATCTGTGCTGGAGATGCCATGGACCTTACCTCATTAAATTTCAACCCTGACAATGGTCCCCAAGATAAAAAAATATTCTTCCTATTTTACAGATGAGAAAACTGATGTTCAGAGAGGTAAAGTCATTTACCCAAGATCTCACAGCTAGAGCAAAAGCAGAAAACCAAAGCAACTAAAACAATAGGCTCTGAAACCAGGTACCCTAGCTCCTGTCTTGCCCTTCCTAGCCTAGACAAGTCACTTGGCTTCTCTAAGAAGCCTCAGCTTTCACATTTGTGAAATGAACAGAGTGAGTGCTCTAAGATGATGTGTATGAAGCACTTTGTACAGGGCTTGACACCCATAAATAAATAGATCATGGTTATCTGATTATCAATAGTTTCTGCTTGGCAGAACTGGGATTTAAAGCCAGGCCTACAAAGGCCCCTTCTACCTAGCTGACCCCACCCCACCTGCTTGTTTCTGTTCTCTGCAGGATGCGCCACTGCCCAGGGTGGGGCAGAAGATGAAGGGGAAGCGGAGGCAGGCTGGATCGAGGGAGCTGCTATCCTCCTTTCAGTCATCTGTGTGGTCCTGGTCACGGCCTTCAATGACTGGAGCAAAGAGAAGCAGTTCCGGGGTCTGCAGAGCCGCATCGAGCAGGAGCAGAAGTTCACCGTGGTCCGGGCTGGTCAGGTGGTTCAGATCCCTGTGGCGGAGATTGTGGTTGGGGACATCGCCCAAATCAAATATGGTAAGTATCCCAGCCACAGAACCAGGTGGTGAAGCCAGCGTCTGGGCAGAGGTGGAACAGGCTGAGCAGACCCTAAGAGGCTGGCCCAGGGAAGGGGGTTGGGTCCCTGAAGACTGATCCCAAGTCAAGGTGTCTTTTGAGATCCTTTGGAAGTGAAAGACTACTTTCTGGAGGGGTTAGGATTTCAGAATCCATCTAACTCAGAAATGGTGCATACACAGCACATGTGCCACTACTCTCATATCTGCACCCACAGCAGACACTACTAACCAATCCCAGCTCAGAGCCTAGATGCAGCCTTTTCAACACAACACTCCAAGGACTACTAACACTCAGATGGGTTTATGAGATAAAATCCACTTCCTATCCCTGATTTGGCTATTGATGGATGGTTATTGGGCTAAGGAGGATGTTATGGAGAGTAGACATAGATGAGTGTACATTCTAAGCCTGTGATACTGCCATGGAGAAAGTGGGCAGGCTGGTGCCAAATGGGGTTGAGATGAGCTATGTCCTTGGGAAAGTAGGGACAGAATATGAGGGAGAGATTGGGGTATACCCCTCCTCATTCAGCCCTTGGGGGCTTGGTTTCCTCTGATATGTGCCTGTTCTGTTGTCACCTCCACCTAGCCAAGACAGATTAGCCCCTTTCAAAATAATTTCTCACATCATAGTTGAAACCAGAAAATGAGTTGTTAAGAAAGCTAGGCCTCAAAACCACACCAGGCCAAGAGAAGCACTTAATAAACTAAAGAGCATGCCCACTTCAGCTAGGATTGTTTTGGGGCCCAACCTCAGCCCTTCAGGCCTTGTACCATTCACCTTGGCTCTAGTCTTCAGCTTCTTATTGGCCTGTGATGGTGCCCTCTTGGTTCCTACACTCTGGGAGCTCTGGGCAGCTGGTCCCCAGGCAAGAACCTTCCCTTATAATCATAACTTTAGGGGAATATTCCAGCTTCTCCAGCTACCTGAGACCCTGCTGACTCCCTTGACCTTCCTCCCATCAGGTGATCTCCTCCCTGCTGACGGCCTCTTCATCCAGGGCAATGACCTCAAGATTGACGAAAGCTCCCTGACAGGGGAGTCTGACCAGGTGCGCAAGTCTGTGGACAAGGACCCCATGCTGCTGTCAGGTGAGCTGCAGCCCGACAGCGGGCTCACTCCCATTGCCAGTTCCCACCCAGTGAGGAGGAGGGTGCCTGTGGCCTCTTCAAGAGGCTGGAGGGTCTTAGGGACTTTTGTCCTTGGCTCCAGATCTCTGACCAGCTCAGCCCTGAATAAGAACTTCCTCCCTTTTCCCCAAAAAATATGCCCTGAGTCTACTGGGCACTTGGCACTACTCTAGGGATAGTGCAATGAATAAAATCAACAAATCCCTGACCTCATGGAACTTACCTTCTAATGAGCTGGTTTTCTGAAAATTCAAACACTGAAGACTGTTCTCTTCAAGGATGAGAAAAAATCAGTGAGGTGACAATTATTTTGGGTACCTCCTGTGTGCTAGGCACTGGGCTGGGTGCTAGAGAAACAGCAATGGATGAGGCCCATGAGACCCTAGCCCTGAGGAGCTGTGGTGTCATTGAAGAGAGATAGGCAATGGGAAAATTCCAGAGGGTGGTAGGTGTGTGACCACAATTGGGAGGCCATGGCTGGGGAGGTCAGGGGAGATCACATGTGAGCTGAGGTGTGACTGAGGAGCAGGAGCTGGCCTTGTGGCTACCCAGGCAGTAAGAACTAGGCAGTGAGTGCAAAGGCCCAAAGGCAGTATTGTGCTGGAGGACTGTGAGCAAGACAGAGATCTGGAGGGGCCAGATGTCAGGCCTCAAGGGCGTGGTCAGGAGGTTGGAAATTTTCTTAGTGTAATGAGGATTCTCTGGAATGGTTGTAAACATGAACTGATCACGTTTACATTTTTAAAACCTCAGTCTAGCTGCTGCAGCAGGTAAGAGAGGAAGTGGAAAGGCCTTGCAGAGGTGAGACACCCCAGGTAACCACCTTCCCTCCAACAACAGGGACACCCAAAAGGACTTATTGCCCAGGAGTGCTCAGTAAACCCTTGATCAGCTACTCTGGGACTAGCCCTGGGCTGAGCAGTGGGACCCACCTCTGGCTGCAAGAGCCTCCAGCCCAGTTAGGCTGAGATAAGCAGACCAACAAACAACTAATTCCACAGTAGAAGAGTGAATAGTGTACAAAAACCAAAAAGGAAACAGAAGGGGGGTGGAATTGAGCTGGCTTTAAAGCACCAACAGGAGCCCACCAAACAGAGTAGTGGAAGAAGGACCCTCCTAACAGAGACAAACATGTAAAAGGCACAGAGGTCTGAAGGGATGGGGGGCATCCTAGAAATACAAAAAGGAAGTTCATCAGGCCTGCAGGGTAGGATGGGAGAAGGAATGAGAGTCAGGGCTGGGCATTTATTTGCCTAGAACTTACTCAACCAACATTTGTTAAGTACCTACCGTATGCCAGTAAAGTTAATGGAACAAACAAGGTCCCTGCTCTCCTGGAGCTTAGATTCCAAGAGACAGACTATAAAGAAACAAGAAAGCAAATATGTAAAATAATTTCAGATAGTGCTAAATCAGATGAAGACATTCTACCATGGTAGTGAAATGGAGACCCAGAAGAAAGGACAGAAACTTAGTTGGTCAAGGGAAGGTGTATCTGAGATTATATTTGAGCTAAAACCAGAACAGTGACAATAAAGCTTCAAATGCCCTCTTGGAACTTAGGGCCACATGAGAGCTTAGGATCATGGCCCTGGTTCTGACCTCCGGGCTGAAGTGCGTAGCAGAGAGGCGAGCATCCTTGGGAGAAGTGGCCAGGTGGGTTGTCTGGATCACTGGAAGTCAAGGGGAGACACCGGGACTGAGTGGTCTGGTTGTGTCCCTTCCTCTGGTCAGGGAGAAGTCTCATAACCGGGAAGGGGTGGCAGGATACCTCTAAGGGAACTAAGAAGACAAGGGGTCCTATGACAGCTAGGACCTCCAGGCCCTTGGATACTCAGCAGTAAGCTTTGCACTCAGTAGGGAAGAACAGTGGACTAGGAGCAGATAAAAGGCAAGAATCGCAGAGAGCCCTGCAAAGCCCAAACTTGTGGTGTCACAGGGGGGTCAGCACTGGTCCTCAGCTCGAGAGTGGGTGCTCTGTGAGCACTGAAAAAAGAAAGGCACTGTGGGGCCCCCGAGGCTCAGGTTGAACCAACAGCTTTGGTCTCAACCTATGCAACTGACAGAGAGCTTAGGAGTGAAGTAGACCCTGGACCTTTGGATGTCAGGAGACAGCAGCCGTGGCCTCCCATGATGTTGTCATGGAGAAGATGGAGAAGGCTGTGCTGGAGGCCAGGAGATTTCAGCCAGTTTGTGCTGGTTCTTGGAATACAGGTTACCTGGTAGAAGGTTTCTAGTGGCATTTCCTGGAGCTCTGTCCTGTCACAATATGGAAAATGTGCCCACCAAGTTCACAGAGACCACCATCCCAGGGAGCATGGCAAAAAGAAAGCACTAGTCAGGACCCACAGAAATCACCAGAGTACAGTGTGAATTCGACTGAAGAAAATGAAGCTTGACTGTGAGCATCAGAGCTGACATTCAGAAACACAGCTGCATGGGGGGAAGGAGGAGCAAGCAGCCTGGCCCAGGCTCACGGGCAAAGACAGTGAGAAAGTGGCAGAGTCAGCCCTATAGAAAACAGTCTAACTGGGAAGAGAAGACTTGTGTAACAGAAGAACCATTCTAGGACAAAAGAGGCTGCCTGTGAGACAGTAGGTTCCTCATCACTGCTTGTGTGTAAGCCGGGTCTGGACAGGCTGCGGGTGGCAGGGTTGTAGAGTAGGCCCACACACGGAAGGCAGTGCCCCTCCCAGCCGTGCAGGTCAGGGATTCACCACACCCTGCATACTGTGTACCTCTGCTGCAGACCCACCTGGCTCCATTCTCTCTGCCCTGCCTTTGCTGAGGCTGTTGCCTCCTCCTAATGGCCCTGTCCCTTTGGTATTGCTCATTTGCCTCCTCCCCATCTGCTCAGGCTTACCTCCTCCATGAAGGCTTCTCTGAGCACCACCTCTGGCAGTCACTCCCATACTGCCTGGGACCCACACGTCAGCCTGTGACATCCACACTGTGCTTGGCCCATTCGGGCACAGCCTCGTAACATTAATTGAGTTCTGCACTGTGCAAACCATCTCAAATAAAATAAAGAGCGAAACCCATCTGCAGTCTCGCCACCCACACAAATCTAATGGGTCTCTAATTTTATGGGCCCCTTCCGTCTTTGGCCATAGGCAGATAGGCAGACGTAGACAGATGCACTGTGATGCACTTCTGCATTGATCCATTCACCCAGACTGGTCCAAGCAGGCAGGAGCCTGAGCCCAAGGTTATCAGGAGGTCATGCCCAGCTCCACCTGTGGGCCCTGCACACCATAGGGGCTCAGGCACTGCCTGCCAGAGTGAGGAGAGAGGCTGTGCTGAGTTGTAGAAAGAAGAGTCGGGCCAGGCTGAGCCAGATCCAGGCTCTGCAATGAACTTGCTGTGTGGCCTCGGGCATGTTGCTTCCCTATCAGAGCCTCCATGTTTGTGTCCATGCAATGGGGAAGCAGGTGGGAGGGCACTTCCCTCTGCCTACCCCACAGGGCTACTGTGAGGACCACATATACAGATGGATATGACTGTCCTTTGCAAATAATACCATGTGAGTTGCTATGTGTGGAACAAGAGCAGCATTTGGAGACAGAGCACTCAGGTCCCAGCCCTCCATCAGCTCCAGCTGTGACCTCTGCCCACCCCAGAACCTCAGTCACCCATCTGACAAATGGGGGCAGGTCAACCTTCAGAAAGACTCTAATGTCCCCAATGCTCCATGAAGCTCCTTCCCTAGAATGGTCAGGCAGGCCCTGGCCCACATCAGGGTCTTCAGACCAGACAGAGTAGAAGTGCTCAGGAATCACAGGCTCACACATCCCTGGGGCCAGTCAGGGAGACCACAGGCGCCAAACCAGAACACAGCTGCTTCCAGCCGCTGCCTACAGAAGTGCCACTCAGTGCGGCTGCAGTGCTCCCTTTGCAAGAGAAGCCAGCGACCCAGACTCTCACGCACCATTTCCCAATGTTTGAGTGTTGGCAAGAAATCCCTATTCTTGTAAAGCTTGTGTGAGTCAAGAAACGGATGGGTGGGCCCTGGAACACAAACTCTAACCTGGCCCATTTCTTTTTTGTTTTGTATTTTAAGATAATTTCAAGCTTTCAGAAAAATTGCAAAAATAGTACAAAGAACATCTACATGCCCTTCCCTCTGGTTCAACTGTTGTTACCGTTTCACTCCGTCACCTCTCTCAGGAGCCTCCCTGTTCCTCGCCATGCACACATGGTGGCCCTGGGCCCCTTCACACTTCAGGTCTGTTCTCTAAGAAAACGATATTCTCGGGTATAACCACAGCAGAGCTGCCAGCTCAGGAAACTTGACGTCGATGCAGTACTGCCATCTAATGTACTGTCCACATTCACGTTTGTCTACTGTTTCCACAGCATCCTCCATCTGGAACCCAGTGTGGGACACTGTGTGGCATTTAGGTGTCCTGCACCTTCATCCTCTTTTAACATGGAGGAGTTCCTTAGCCTTCCTTTGCCTTTCGTGGAAGACCAGTGGTTTTGAACCCTCCTAGGACATAACTCCCGTGAGAGTCCCACGGAAGCAATAATCCCTCTTAAGAGAAATAAATACCCAGACTTTTGACTTTGCAGCCTTTTGGGGGCTTTACAGATCCCTAGGGAACCTAGTCTTGTCGTGATTTGCAGCTGGGGAAATTGAGGCCCAGGGCAGAGCAGAGGGCAGGGCCAGAGCAAGACCCCAGCCCTCCAGCCTCCCAGCCCTGTACTCTTCCTGCAGCCCTCACGAGTGAACTTGCCTCCAAGGACCCTGCGCCTTGGATTACCCAACAGCATGGCCTGTTTGAAATGTCTTATGGTAAATTCCATTGGGGAGCCAATGATTAGGTGCCATCATTGTGGCCACAGAAGGGCCAGGGGACTAGGGTGGGGGTTTGCCCTCTAAAGCAGCAGGGTCTGGCTCCAAAAGGCCCATTAGCTCTGCCCTCTACAGGACCCCCACCCGCCTCCATCACCCCTGGAGC